AAACTTCAACCTTCTCTCGAATATGTATTAATTTTTGTTACTTTTAAGCGATAAAAAACGCGGTGCCCTCGATAATTAGGCAGCAACCGGCTCGACGACACAACTTCTCGCTAAAATAAACATTGTCGCGGTCCAATCTTATCTTTACGGACTTGATTCAGCAGAAATATGTGTATCGAATTAGGCTCTAAAAGCATTTTTTTTTAACGAAGTACATTTATTTATAATCGATTGATCACAATGAAATTGGTAATTATTATCAGAATAAGTTATTATAATATGTACTCAATAAATGTTCACGATTGTCTTCCGCGGTGAAGGAATAACATCGTGTAATAAAAATCAAACCCGCAAAATTATAATTTGCGTAATTACTGGTGGTAGGACCTCTTGAGAGTCCGCGCGGGTAGGTACCATCGCCCTGCCTATTTCTGCCGTGAAGCAGCAATGCGTTTCGGCTTGAAGCGTGGGGAAGCCGTTGTAACTATACTGAGACCTTAGAACTTATATCTCAAGGTGGGTGGCGCATTTACGTTCTAGATGTCTATGGGCTACGGTAATTACTTAACACCGGGTTAAGGTCTAAGCAATAAAAATAAAAATCAATAAAAGCTGTCAATATTAACGTGAGTCTGTGATATTTCGTTTATTATTATAGAATTAATATTTGCCCAATGAACACCCATAGTTGGACGTCTAAATTGACTATTACAAGCGTCGCCATTTTGTTTTTAATTTTTATCATAAATCTAGTTGTTTACGACGCAAAGCCTTTTGTAACATTGTCCCGATAACATCTCTGGTCGGGTTCGCGACTTTTTACTCTCGTAACGGTTTTGATAAGGTCACTTTATTGATTTTTTTTTCTTCTTTTGGTTATTTGAATTGCGACAGGTGAATTTCACTCAAAGCACTTTCGAAGAAACCAGAGAATATAGCAAGTGTTACCGAAAATGATATTTTACGGCATCTCTCCGAGATAACTTCGTCTTCTCGCATTAAAACTGTATAATCTCAAAACTTACTAATTTTACAGGAGAGTGTTTTAAAGGTTTAACATGTGATATTTTTAATATTAATCATCTTTGCAACATTTACTTTTTTATTTTTTACCTGATAAATTATCTGTCTTTTAAAGTAAGATAAAATTATGTATTAATTTTGATAATAGTAGTCAAAGTATAGGTAAACTAAAAAACTAAAACTAAACTACGCTCTTTTGACAGTATTTATTAGAAAAATACTGGTAATACCAAATGATTCCGCATATTAACTCAATTTCGAATATTTTTGGAAATTGTACACTTTTAATGCGAAAAGACGACTTGTGTTATTAAGGATACTTTAGTTGGTTCGATTCCCTGTCGTAGGTAAGTATCTTACAATCTATATTATGAAGGATAATAAAGGAGGCGATAAAATTTATATTGCTTTTCGTTTTATGTTCATTCGAATAACTTCCTTATTTTACATACAGATTTCATTAACATTATCTGTATATATATTTTTTAAATTTAGTACATGGATATCGACCAGCAAAATAGTACAGTCAGAGAGAGAGAGAGAGAGAGAGAGTTTTTATTGCTTAGATGGGTGGACGAGCTCACAGCCCACCTGGTGGGTGGTTGCTGGAGCCCATAGACATCTACGACGTAAATGCGCCATCCACCTTGAGATATAAGTTCTAAGGTCTCAAGTATACTTACAACGACTGCCCCACCTTTCAAACCGAAACGCATTACTGCTTCACGGCAGAAATAGGAAGGGTGGTGGTACCTATCCGCGCGGACTCACAAGAGGTCCTACCACCAGTAAAATAAGCTTTACTTTTTTTTATTTTTTTATTTATTGCCTAGGTATGTGGACGAGCTAACAGCTCACCTGGTGTTTTTTTTTTTTTTTTTTATTGCTTAGATGGGTGGGCGAGCTCACAGCCCACCTGGTGTTATGTGGTTGCTGGAGCCCATAGACATCTACGACGTAAATGCGCCATCCACCTTGAGATATAAGTTCTAAGGTCTCAACTATAGTTACGACGGCTGCCCCACCCTTCAAACCGAAATGCATTACTGCTTCACCTCAGAAATGAGCAGGGTGGTGGTATCTACCCGTGCGGACTCACAAGATGTCCTACCACTAGTAGAAAGCCGTAAAGTAAGTAATTATTGGCTTTAAGGCGTTTTATGAACTCACACGGATATGCTGCATCATCCATCTTATTCCTGTCGCCAATCAGACATGCATTCCACGTTGCATATACGGTACAATAGTAATTTTATACATTTTGTAATTACGAAGATTTGGAGTGTTACAACTTTATGAACCGGTAGACGTAACAAGGCCTGTCCCCGGATCTTCTCAGCGGGTCGCGATTCCGATCCGATAGTAGATCATTCGCGAAGCAGCTGCTCTTGAGTTGTTAGGTCTCCTTTGGAGGCGCTCGAGTGACTGTTAGCAAATCCCACTCCTCCTGGCTGAGACTACTCGCCCACATGTCCTGGTCAAACTGGAAAGACCTCCGGGCCACCAGTAATACTTTATCATTAAAAAAACCGTCACAAGGTGAATATCGGGACGACTTAAGGCCAGAATTACAATAGCGGCTTCGTTCATTCGTTTTTCCACTCGCATTGACATTTAAGCCTCATGCTTATAAGTGAAATTTAATTTAATTAAACCTGCCCGCAGAACCTGATATTTAACAGTCGACCTCAAAACAATGACCCTCTTTGAATTCCGATTTTTTTTTCTATTTGAAAGTATTAACTGCTAAAAATGTCATCCTAAGGATCGTAATAGCGTATTTTGCTTTTTAATACGCTTTTATTAGCTTCAGACGTGTGTATGTTTGTAACGGAATCTTTGAACATGATTTTGACCCCCTTCAAAACGTCGGATTAATTCGAAATGTGGTATTATTAAGGATCGATGATTATTCAATACTAAAAAAAAATATTGAAAAAATTGAAATTCAACTAAAAAATGAAAAATAAATAATAATTTAAAAAAACTAACAAAATACACTTCTATAGAAAATCCAACAAAAAAATAGAAATTAAATTTTAATAAATTTGCATTAAAAATAGTGAAAGAAAAAATGATTTTATTGTATCAGTAGCATGGCATGGCATGGTATCAGTATTTATAAATATTTTATGAACAGATATGATTAGAAGGGTTATTTTAACAATATCCTGAAAAGCACCCCAAGCTTTTTTACAATAAAATCATTTTTTCTTACACTAACTATGAAACGGCTGCAACGATTTTCATAAAATTTAGTATACAGGGGATTTCGGGGGCGATTAATCGATCTAGCTACGATTTATTTTCAGAAAATGTTGTTTTATTCGTGTTTTCAATAATCAACTTTATCGATAATCAACTTTATGACTCTCCCGACATCTATTGGCGAATAATAATACTATTTTTCTTAATTGAGGGCAACTAACCGCTTTAAAGATGCAACAAGATGGCGTTATCAAAAAAAAAGAGCAAAGCTCGGTCATCATCCAGTAATTGTATTATGTGTTTAGTTCCTTTGTTCCCTCGAACGCTTGTCAAGTGATAAAGTTGTATGTGAACGCGGCACGCGTCTAATGGACCGGCCCTATTTCGTTTCTATGTGATGTAGTCGGATCGTAAACGACATACAAACGCACGCGACTTTCCTCGTGTTATTAAACTATATATATGTTATTTTATAATACAAATATTTACGGAATAGGTACCCTGTTGCTTCAACTGCAAAATGAAATAAATCTATCTTAAATCTATCTATCTATGTATCTATCTATCAATCTTTATGTATAAAAATTAATTGCTGTTCGTTAGTCTCCCTAAAACTCGAGCACGGCTGGACCGATTTGGCTAATTTTGATCTTGAATGATTTGTGGAAGTCCAGATAAGTTTTAAAAGATAGATAAATATGAAAATGTTCGGAATTTAATAAAAATAGCAATTTTGTTTTTCCTTTGATGTGTCTCCCGTCGGACGGATTCCTTTTGTTTGTTTTAAGTTTGTTTTATACAAAAGTTCAGGTCTTTTATTCATCGATTGAGGCACTACGAAGTCTGCCGGGTCAGCTAGTTTTATAATAAAAATATTTACGGAGCAGGTACCCTGTTGCTTCAACTGTAAAATGAAATAAATTACAAATAAATATCATTGAAGTTATTACGATTACCAGTGGTCCCGCAGTAGTCGAAATTCGACTATAATTAATTGAAATTATAAGTTAGAACATTATTCTGGTTCTATTGTCAAATACTATTATATTTCTATAGTGACAGATTTCGCCAAGAAAGATAAACAATATTAATTTATTCTCAATTTGACTGCAGACTTTAAGCAATAACAAAATTTTGACAATAAACAAAGAGTATGTGTGTGTGTGTGTCAAATACAAGGTAGTGTGTGTAATGTTTTTTTATTGATTTAATGAATATTTCAGGCATAATTTAAAAAAATATTAACATTCTGCACTCCTTCTCTATATTCTCTATAAGAGCGGGAAATTTCATACTCCTCCGTCCGCGCAATTTTCGTAAAGAGGGGTACAAAGTTTTTCCTTTACATAATAATACATATATATAGATATGTTATTTTATAATACAAATATTTTCGGAGTAGGTATCTTGTTGCTTCTTTCTTTCTTTTTTTATTGCTTATATGGGTGGACGAGTTCACAGCCCACCTGGCGTTTAGTGGTTACTACAGCCCATAGACATCTACGACGTAGATGCGCCACCCACCTTGAGATATCAGTTCTAAGGTCTCAAGTATAGTTACAACGGCTGCCCCGTCCTTCAAACCGAAACGCATTACTGCTTCACGACAGAAATAGGCAGGGTGGTGGTACCTATCCGCGCGGACTCACAAGAGGTCCTACCAACTGCAAAATGAAATAAATTACGAACTCTATCTATCATTGAAGTTATTACGGTTATAAAAATTACATTCGAAGTTAAAAAAAATAAGATTTTCTTTCCTTCAACAGGAGAAAGATCTAGAAGCAGATCATAAGGAGTTGGAGTTAGCGAAGCAGGTGTCGGATTGTCTCTCAATCGGACTGGACTCCGTGCTGTGCGCGACGAGGCTATTTGTGGAGCGACGAGGATTCGATGATGCACGGCTGCTGGCGACCTTGAGGAGCAGAGCCCACACCATCATCAGGTAAGTGAAGCAGATTACCAATTCCACTCCAAAGTATTATAAACTCTTCCTCTAGTTCTTTTTCTTTTAAGTTGGTGGTAGGACCTCTTGTGACTCCGCACGGGTAGGTACCACCACCCTGCCTGTTTCTGCCGTGAAGCAGTAATGCGTTTCGGTTTGAAGGGCGGGGCAGCCGTTGTAACTATACTTGAGACATTAGAACTTATATCTCAAGGTGGGTGGCGGCATTTACGTTGTAGATGTCTATGGGCTTCAGTAACTACTTAACACAAGGTGGGCTGTGAGCTCGTTCACCTATCTATGCAATAAAAATAAAATAAAATAATCTTGTCGTTACGAACTCGGCGCGAGTATACTAATCTCTACAAATACAAAATTATATTTGTGTATTTTGTTTGTTTGTTGATTTTTGTTTTTGACACTTAGGAAAGTTTTTTTTATGGTAAAGTACCGTCAATCTATAGTAACATAGTTATAGAGATAATTGATTTTAGTAAACAATCAACGGATCCAAGGTAAAGTTAGGTACAGTAGCGCTCAAATGACAAAGAACAAGTATAATCGACCTCAATCGGACGTACCCCCATTGGTGAGGAAGTCGTACTTAACAAATGTTCATGATTGGCTTCCACGGTAATTTGAGTAATTACTGGCGGTAGGACGTCTTGTGAGTTTGCACGGTTAGGTACCACCACCCTGCCCATTTTCGCTGTGAAGCAGTAATGCGTTTCGGTTCGAAGAGCGGAGCAGCCGTTGTAACTATACTAAAATTTTATATCTCAAGGTAGGTGGCGGCATTTACGTTGTAGATGTCTATGGGCTCCAGTAACCACTTAACATCAGGTTGGTCTTGAGCTCGTCCATCCACCTAGGCAACTCAATGAAGTTGAGTAACTGCTGTCCATCTTCAAAACTGGAAGACAAGCACGATAGAAACATATTGTTGGTTATGTTCCTACTTGGGCAATACGTACTATCGCCGCCGGTGGAAACAAGTTTGCTCACAGTGTGATTTTCCTACCTAATCACCAGTGAACTCGAGGGGCTATTCAGCTTTTGCCGAGCTGGTGAGCTGACTGAACTCTGAGATACTAAGATCACATTTGCCCTAGCAAGAGCAGTGCTTCGCTGAATCTACCATCGGATCGGAATCGCGGCCCATCGGGAAGATCCGGCGAGAAACTCAGTGGGCTGTGTCCGTGGGGTGCTCACAGCTGAGTGCTCACGTGTCTACTGCGTTCATTATGCCATGTGCCAATGTTGTCCTAACTATTGGGCATATTGAAGTGCAGCGAAACGCGAATCAAATGTCAAAACAATGAACTATTATTGGTTCCGTGATATTGTACAGTCGTAATGTTGGCGTGAAAAAAAATCAGTGCATGTCAAATTTTTAACAAGGAACCCATTGTGTTATATTAATGTTACTAGCGTTCCCCCGGTAGTCGAAATTCGACTGATTTCGCCAAGACTACACTATAGACAAACAATATTCATCTTTTCTTATGTCTTTTCTCAATTTGACCACACACTTTAAACAATAACAGAACGAAGAGTAGGTATGTGCCGTGTCAAATACATGGTAGTGTGTGTAATCTTTTTTTTATTGATTTGATGTATTTTTTATGCATTATTTACAAAAAATATTAGCATTGTGCACTTCTTCTCTATATTCTCTAAGTGTGGGAATTTTCATACTCCGTCCGCGCAATTTTCGTAAAAAGGGATACAAAGTTTTTGCTTCACTTATTAATATATTGATAAGATCGTGTCGATGTTCCCGATGCTTTTGCGTTTGAAACATACTTTATTTGGCACTTCATGTTAGAGTGTCGTCAGTGCAAAAATTTACCCTCCTCCTATTGGTGCTCTAGCCTTTCCACTGTAGTGAAATTTAATGACCCACCTAAAATTAATGAACTTCAGTTTCGTATCTTTTGTCTGCGCTGTCTTATTTTAATCGAATAAAACAGACCTGTCAAGGTAGGTGGCGCATTTACGTTGTAGATGTCCATGGGCTCCAGTAAACACTTAACACCAGGTGGGCTGTGAGCTCGTTCACCCATCTAAGCAATAAAAAAAAAAAAAAAAAAATATCAGTTTTTAAGTACCAATTTCAAGATGTCGGACAGAAAAAGATATTTTCTTCTTCTTAGTCCTTTGCACTCTTGGTGATTGGTAGTGGTCATCTTTCTTGTGTACTTGTTGACAGGACTGCTTAGAATTTTCGTCGTGGCCTCATGAGGCTTTCTTGGGAAAATACACGTGGTGGGGTCCCGCGTCCTTCCACGGCAGTTCTTTTGGAAGAGATTTAGTTCTTGGCCCCTAAAGCCTTACTGGGTCTGCCTAATTAACCGCCGCCAGACATTCGGCGTTGACCGTTTTACGGTGGAAAGGTTGAACTCCAATTAAACCCTCTTCTCTTCCGAGCTTGGCACTGCCATTGGCAGAGTTGAGAATCAGTCTACTTAATATTACTAAGTCTGCATTTTGTTTCGTGTCGGAATGTTTATAGGCTTATTGTCTTTTGTGCTCGAGTATCCATCGAGAATATTCCTTCACTATGACCTGACCGTCGCGGCCCGTGGAACTTTCAGTATTAAAAACCGAATGCGTTAGAAAATCAATGTGAATTTCCGTTTGCTTAGTTGTCGCACAATGAGCATGTGTGATGAACGCGTCGCCCGACTATTGTGTCCATATGTCCCCTGCGCTACCCAGTTCGATGTAGACTCAATAATGTTAAGATACGACATTTTTAATTGTTTTTATTTTTATTTTTTTTATTGCCCTTGTGCCTACAAGACGAGCATACAGCCTGCCTGATAGTGAGTGGTTACCATCGCCCATAGACTTCAGCAATGCCAGGGGCAGAGCCAAGCCGCTGCCTACAAAAATTGTTAAATATTTATGATAGATCGTGTCATACGCGATTGCAATGAGTCGATTATTAAGCACTTTACACAATTAAAAGTTGATAAATATGGTTTCAATATATATATTTTTTTATTGCTTAGATGGGTGGACGAGCTCACAGCCCACCTGATGTTAAGTGGTTACTGGAGCCCATAGACATCTACAACGTAAATGCGCCACCCACCTTGAGATATGTTGTAAGGTCACAGTATAGTTACAACGGCTGCCCCACCCTTCAAACCGAAACGCATTACTGCTTCACGGCAGAAATAAGCAGGGCGGTGGTACCTACCCGCGCGGACTCACAACAGGTCCTATCACCATAAATTAAATTATCGCGTAGTTAAATTGTGCGAATAGATGATTTTTATTTAGAAAATTACCAAATAAGCGTATTACTATGTTTGCATTTAAATATTATAACCAAGTCGTAAAAAAACAGGCATTGATTTTAATATATTTTATTTTACAAAAAAAAAAGAGCCCTTCGCTGGTGCCACGTGATTAAAAAAGGAAGTCTTCTTGGAAATGAACACTATGAAAATGTATGCAAATAAAAAATAAAAAAAAATTGGATTGCCACTTCTTTACAATTACGTCTCAGCAACTCTATGTCGTATTGGCTTGTAGGGGCGAGTCGACATCGATATTCAGTGGATTACATGTGATTATCGATTCAATCTCATAAGAGTCACACGCGCTCATGCTCTGACGAGAGTAATTAATACATGTCATTGGAACTATCGCTTTGTCGTTTCCAATCGGTCGTGTTCTAGACTCTTGTTGTCTGCTGTAATTCTCAGCGTCTTGGTTGGAGTGTTGTTTCTTATAAACGGAAAAGCACGACAGTATTGCGGCAGAAATAGGCTGGAACCCGGTACCTCCCATTTTTCATTGCTTAGATGTTTGGATGAAAGGAAATGACGTCACCCACCTTGAGATACGAGTCCTAGGGTCTCAATATAGTACAACGGCTACGCCAGCTTTCAAATCCAAATGCATTACTGCTTCACGGCAGAAATAGGCAGGGTGGTGGGTTCTTTTGTATTCCATAGACGGATGGACAAGCTCACAGCCCATTTGGTGTTAAGTGGTTACCGGAGCCCATAGACATCTACAACGTAAATTTCGCCCCCCACCGTGAGATATAAGCTCTAAGGTCTCAAGTATAGTTACAACGGCTGGCCCACCCTTCAAACCGAAACGCATTACTGCTCCACGGCAGAAATAGGTGGGGTGGTGGTACATCCCTTCCGGACTCACAAGTCGTCCTACCACCAGTAATTACCAAATTATATTTTTTGTAGATTTAAGTTATACTATACTATGTTGTTCCTTTACCATGGAAATCATTCATAAGTATTTGCTAATTACGTATTTGATCAGAAAAATTGGTACCTGACTGTGGGATTCGAACACCGGATCGGAACTCAATCAGATCGCTCGATACGAATGCACCGGGCGTCTTATCCTTTAGGCCACGACGACTTCATTGTTGATTGCACATAGCATTCATTCAAATTGTCACATCCGAGATTATAATTTGAATGAGAAAATGTATTTCAACTTACCAAAGGTAAAACATTAAATGAACAATAAAAGGTCTAGTGTTGAATTACTTTGGAGTGTCATTGTGTCTAGTGCTTGTAATATCGAGAGTTTGATTGCGTATTGAGTGGCTTTCGACGCTTTCCATCGCCGAGTGGATGGTAGTGAATATCGATTGAGTAGGTAATTGACGTGATTGCTTTAATTAGAACGAAAGATAGCAATGGAAGTCATACAAATCTAAAATTCCATTTTTGGAACGAAGTTCCTTACGGTACGATGCGGAGGGGCACCCTAACCGGGAAAAAACGTCCGTAACGTAAGGTTTTTATTAGTAATGCACACAGAGTTTACAACTTAACTTTGTAATAACGAACAAAAAAAATAACATATTTTTTAATCATTCATTGATCACAATCTCAGAGCATTCGTTTGCGCAATACACTAACTCTTATGCAAACAACCGTGAATGTAGTGTACCACAATAAGTTCGCACGTTACCGAATGACCGTGGGTTGTTGCGAAACCTCCAGTTT